ATGTCACCAAGCTTACGTCTCCTGAAGAACGTCGCCATGACTACTTACGCAGAAGACATCACTAGGACGTTCTCGATGAACGTCTCCAGAGGGCATCACCAGCACTACGTCCCCCGGAGATCACCAGAACAGTCCCCAAATGTTCAACATTTCGTCCTCTGGAGGTCTCCACCACTACGTCTGTTGCAAGACATCCTCTGAAGGTCACCGATACTAGTTCCTACAGAATACCCCCTGGAGATGGTCACCAGCACTGCCACTCCTACAGGACGTCCCCTGGAGGAGGTCACCAGCACTACCACTCCTACAGGACGTCCCCTTGGATAATGAGGTCACTACCACTTTTACAGGACGTCCTCTGGAGGAGGAGGTGGTGGTCACCAGTACTACCACTCCTGCAGGACGTCCCCTGGAGGTGGTCGAGGTCACTAGCACTACCAGTCCCACAGGACGTCCCCTGGAGGAGGTCACCAACACTGCCACGCCTGCAGGACGTCCCCTGGAGGAGGTCACCAGCACTACCACTCCTACAGGACGTCCTCTGAAGGTCACTAGCACTACCGCTCCTACAGGACGTCCCCTGGAGGAGGTCACTACCACTCCTACAGGACGTCCTCTGAAGGTCACCAGCACTACCACTCCTGCAGGACGTCCCCTGGAGGAGGTCACTAGCATTACCACTCCTACAGGACGTCCCCTGGAGGAGGAGGAGGCCTCTGGAGGTGGTCACCAGCACTACCACTCCCACGGGACGTCCCCTGGAGGAGGACACCAGCACTACCAGTTCCACAGGACGTCCCCTGGAGGATGAGTTCACTACCAGTCCCACAGGACGTCCCCTGGAGGAGGTCACTAGCACTACCCCTCCTACAGGATGCCTCTGGAGGCTGAGGATGCCCCTGGAGGTGGTCACCAACACTACCACTCCCACAGGACGTCCCCTGGAGGCGGTAGAGGCCCCTGGAGGTGGTCACCAGCACAAACACTCCACCACCGCCGCCGTCAACACACCTGACGAAGCACAACATAAATATTGCCGTGGCCAAGGTAAACAAACTGTGAGTGAAGGGTGGTAGTGTTGGTGTTGTGGTGGAGCAGTGTTGGAGACCACCACAGACACACACACACACACCACACCACACCACAGACACACACACACACCCGCCGCACACACACGCACACCGCCCCACACACACGCACACACACACACACGGAACTAAGCCACGTCCCCGACACCCACCGAAGATTTTTTTAATTTCCTCACGATTCCCCCACCGTCACTGTTCACTCTGGTCACTGTGCTCATTTTCTATGCACGAGAGTGTTAGGCGTCGGCTGGCGCCTCGGCCATGGCTGAAACTCGTGTTTTCCCTCATATTTTTATCAGTAAAATAATAATCAAGAGACACTCACCCATCCTCTAACGTTCCAGGCCGCTACGGGGCCGCCCTCACCCGCGCACGGCCTCCCCCCCGCCCCGTGCCGCACCCCGCCCACACCCTCATCTATCCTCCCTTATTACACCCACGCCCGCGTCTCCCCGGGGGCGGCTAGGGCGGGCACGGGCAGCGGTAATGGGTGCTCGTGGCGGTGGGGTGGTGGCGAGGGGCGTGGGTGGGGAGCGGGCCAGTCTGTGGGGGGAAACATGAGGGCAGGACACAGCATCTTACAACAAGGTGGCGACTGTTGTGACCCATTCAATCCGTGACGTCAGGGCTCCCAGGCCCCGCCCCCCTGGTGCGTGTATGTGTGTGTCGCTGGCTCCTCCTGGGGCCCAGCACCACCGTCTGACCCTCCTTCACACACTCACTTCTGCAGGTTATCAAGCCACCAGCGTCTTAATACCGACTGATGTCAAGTGCGACGTCTCCATTAAGTGTCGCCATAGAGTGACGTCACTGACAAACATGATGCCGATCAGCCGGCAGGAGGGCCCAGGAAGTCGTACGGCAACTGTTTACATTGTGTCTTCCCAGAGTAATGACACGTCTTCGCCTCATTTGAGATTATTAATTGCGGTGATGAGTCGTGATGGACTTGCTCTAGCCGTCTGTGCTTGATGTAGGTCAAACTGAAGTACACTATTCACACGTCAGGCACTGCTGTAGGACGGTGGTAACCTCTCAATGTGTCGTATCTCCAAGACCAATCCTGCTCGGAGAATATAGAGTAAAAGAGCCACATTTGGAGCAGCATGTTGCCGGAGAGCTGTATGGGGCCAGAATGAGAGCCCTAGCATAGAGGATCTAGAAAATTGCAAGTAGAAATGCTAGCTCTCCAAATATCATTTCCTGACAAGAGGCGGAACCCACCAATGGGAAGGCTCGGGGGGCGGGGCCAAACGGTGACGTCACGGAGCGAGCGCGCATGGCCCCTAGTGAGCCGAGCCGAGAAATAGTATCAGTTGAAATTCATCATTTTCCCCTATTTAGTACAGCGTTGAGACGCCCAAGTGGCGAGTGACATCGCGGGTGATGATTTGTACGTCACTTTAACATGGCGTGTAGTGAGTGGCTGGCCTAGAGGAGGAGGTAGAGGGCGTGGATTATAAGGGAGAAAATAAGCCGCAGCAAACCCCGTTCTTCCACCCTCAACTCCACCCACAAATGGAGAAAAACAGCTGACGTGAGCTGTTGCTCGGGCTTATCTTATGAACCTGTTTCGCCCTATGCCATATAACTGTCTCGTCTTGTGATGTATTTGCTTAACAACACTTGTATTGCTTAAAATCGGGTGCTATATGAGGGGGTGTAGTGTGTGGGTGGCCGGGGCGGGGGCGGTCCCGCTCAGACTCGGGTCTCACCTTACACTGTGGAGATGCTCTCTGAGACGCTCTCCCAGGCCTCTTAAGACGCTCTCCCTGGCCTCCTCTTGAGACCTCTCCCTGGCCTCTAAGACGCTCTCCCTGGCCTCAAGACGCTCTCCCTGGCCTCCTCTTGAGACCTCTCCCTGGCCTCTAAGACGCTCTCCCTGGCCTCAAGACGCTCTCCCTGGCCTCTTAAGACGCTCTCCCTGGCCTCTAAGACCTCTCCCTGGCCTCCTCTAAGACCTCTCCCTGGCCTCCTCTAAGACCTCTCCCTGTCCTCCACTAAGACCTCTCTCTGGCCTCCTAAGACCTCTCCCTGTCCTCCACTAAGACCTCCAGCAGGAGTTGAGTGGTCCAGGCTGACAGTGGCTGTGGACACACAAGTTAACTAACGCGTATTGCTATAGGCAGCATTGAGTAGTAATATATATGTTAACTCGTGTATGGTAATGATAATCAGGGACCAATAAATTTGTTATCACAAAGCAATAATACAAAGGTAACATTGAAAATAGTCAGTGTGAAGTAGTTGATAGTCGCCACTCAATACAAATTGCAGCTCACATGGTGCCTGAATTATATGCATTTTAGGTCTTAACACTGAAGCTGGAGCATCTTGAAAGTTTTTTAATACAGTTTTTAGGTTCTTGAGAACTGAGTGTGTGTGTGTATATATATATATATATATATATATATATATATATATATATATATATATATATATATATTATTTATTTTTAATTTTTGTAAATATATATTTTATTTTTTTTATTATTTTAACATAACAAAGTCAGTAATTCATGTTTTTAATATAATACGAGAATACGAGTCAAAGTAATGGATATATATATATATATATATATATATATATATATATATATATATATATATATATATATATATATATATATCCATGCAAGACACGGCGAGGTTAATGACATTATTAAGAGGAGCCTTACCACAGCCGGTTGTCCAGCAGAGAGAGAGCCCCGTTACCTAATGTCCCGCAACTCTGATGAGCCTGTCGGTCGCCCAGACGGAATTACGGTGAACCCCTGGAAGAATGGTAGACAGTTGGTGTGGGACTACACTTGCGTTTCAACTTTGGCCAGTACCTATGTTGACTTCAGTGCTACACAAGCAGGAGGAGCTGCCAATCACCGGGAAGCGGCCAAGTCACGTAAATACAGAGACCTTGAGCACCACTACAATTTTGTCCCCATTGCCTCAGAGACACTTGGTGCCTGGGGTAAAAGTGCTGCTAGCTTTTTAAAGGAGTTGGGGTCTAAGCTAATCGAAACAACAAGAGACCCCAGAGCTGCCAGTTTTCTTTTTCAGCGCCTTAGTGTGGCAATCCAGAGAGGAAATGCTCACTGCATCCATGGTTCCTGCCCGCCATCTGAGGAGCTATTCAACTTGTGACAAGCAGCCTTGTACCCTGTATGTAATCAATATTGTAACTTTTTTTGTGTAATGACATTTTCAAATAAAGTTAGATAAATATACACACTTAACAAAAGAATAGGGGTGGTAGGAGAAGAAAATATCAAAGTGTTCAGTGAGGATCCACAAGGTCTTCTCTGAGTACTCTTTATTTTCTTCTCCGAGGCTATGGGTCCCTACATTTGCACCAGAGGTGGTACCCCTTCTAGGTTTAAAAAAAAAAAAAAAAAAAAAAAAAAAAAAATATATATATATATATATATATATATATATATATATATATATATATATATATATATATATATATATATATATATATATATATATTGCTAACAACCAGAGTGATTTTCGTTATATAAAAAATCTAATTGGTTTATTTAAACTAATATTATTAGATTATTTTAAAAACATGAATTACTGACTTTGTTATGTTAAGTTTGGTCAATGTATTGTAAGTTAGAGGTCTTGCTTGGTGTAGGCCAGGGTCGGTCTTGGGCCGGTCTTACATCAGCTGAGAAGTATGAACGAGAACGTGCTCAGGTTTGGAGAGGCGAGACGTAGGTTCGAATCCTCGTCACGGCCCTTGTGGATTTGTTGAGTGGAGAGGCTGTTCTTAAGTTTGGCTGTGCTACGTCATGGTGTTTTTCTTACGCAGTTTATGGGAACTTGTGGCTTATGACTCAAGATGATGACCAATCCGTCTGTACTTACTCTCACGCTCCAAGCCCATTAAGGCGGGGTACAAGAGCTATAAGCTCTTGGACCCCGCCTTTCTAACCAATCTATTTTTCCTCTTATATCTACTACATATATTTATCTCTAATACACACACACACACGCACACATTTCCAGGAAACAGGCCGTAGCAGTTGTCTAACTCCCAGGTACTTACTACTGCTTGGTGAACAGTGCCATTACGTGAAAGAAACTGCCCATTTGTTTCCGCTTAGGCCGGGGATCGAACCCACAGGACTACGACCCCGAAGCGTTGTCCACTGTAGTGTGTGTGTGTGTGTGTAATTACCTAAGTGTGGCTACAGGACGAGAGCTACGCTCGTGGCGTCCCGTCTTCCCAGTACTCTTTGTCGTATAACGCTTTGAAACCTGTGTATATACTCACCTATTTGTGCCTGCAGGATCGAGCTCTAGTTTTTGGACCCCGCATTTCTAGCCGTTGGCTGTCTAATGCAATGACTCCTGGACTATTTTCCTATCGTACCTGCTTTTAAAGTTATAAATGGTGTTAGTCTCTACGATCTGCTCCTTTAGGTCATTCCATTTACTCACTAACCTTACGCAAAAAGAAAACTTTCTACCATCTCTATGACACATATGTGTCTCAAGCTTATTTCCATCCGTGCCCCCTTGTTCTATTGTTATTCATTGTAAACATTTCCTCTTTCTACCTTGTCAATCCCTCTTAAGTATTTTATACGTCTGTATCATATCTCCCCTCCCCTCTCCCTCCTCCTTTCTAACGTCGTCAGGTTTAGTTCCTTCAGTCTGTCTTCGTACCTCATCCCTCGCATATCTGGGACGAGTCTCGTTGCAAACTTCTGCACCTTTTAGGGCTTCCTTATGTGTTTTTCTTTTAGATGGGGGTTCCACGATGGTGCGGCATACTCTAAGACTGGCTTCACATAGGCCAGTCACATGTACTCACCTAGTTGTGCTTGCGGGGGTTGAGCTCTGGCTCTTTGGTCCCGCCTCAATCAACTGGTGTACAGGTTCCTGAGCCTATTGGGCTCTATCATATCTACATTTGAAACTGTGTATGGAGTCAGCCTCCATACACATCACTGCCTTGTGTGTGTGTGCGCGCGCGTGCGTGTGCCTGGCAGTGATGTGGAGCTCTCAGTGTGCAGGGAATGAGACGTAGCTCTTCAGGTCCCACCTGGCATATTTAAGTGCGTTCTTATTCACTTGACATTTGAGTTGTGCGTCGCGTTTGCCTTTGGAGGTTGGATGGAGGCGACCTCCACATCCTACGTGTTGACCACACGTACGACCACCACCTTCACGTTCCTTCCATCTCTCGCCAATGTCGACCAGACCACACACTAGAAGTTGAAGGGACGACGACGTTTCGGTCCGTCCTGGACCATTCTCAAGTCGATTGTCTCTCACCAATGTCCTCTATTAGCCTGTACTCTCGGTGGAAGAGGCTATCCATGCTTATTTCCCTCAGTATCTTGTATATAACGATCATATTCCTTTTTATCCTTCACTTCTGGAATTGCTAGATGATTTCTGGTAACGTTTCCTCTTAGCTCAGATATCTTAATGGATGTACTAGTCTAGTTGTAATACTGTAGTGGTGAAGATGGTTCTTGTGCCTCGCTAGGTGAGTTCCGGGCCGGTGCCGTGTACTCTGACGCAAATAAAGTAACACTGGCTGTTAAGTGCCATCACAGATTCCTTCTACACCGTTTGAAATGTCATTATTATGCATATATTAGTTTATATTATCAACCCTGCCGGTGTTATCCTGTGTCGCACGGTTTGGTCTATCATGTAGACTGAGTATTTTGTATGCAGTGATCATGTCCAAAGTATTCTTTTCCAGTGTGAGTTTGTGTCGGATTTAATCACGAAAATCGCGATGGGTAATGTGATGGAAATACAGTACATATATATATATATATATATATATATATATATATATATATATATATATATATATATATATATATATATATATATATATATATATATATATGTGTGTGTATATCACGAAAATAAACACGTGATTAAGAATGTGACAATGTCAGACCACGGAGGAAAAATGAAACAGGAATTTCCTTAAGTACTTTCGTATATTAAATACATCTTCAGGGTACTTCTGGAGATGTATTTAATATAAGAAAGTACTTAAGGAAATTCCTGTTTCATTTTTCCTCCGTGGTCTGACATATATATATATATATATATATATATGGCAGGGGATATATATATATATATGGCAGGGGATATATATATATATATATATATATGGCAGGGGATATATATATATATGAGGAGAGGTTGAATGGCCCCAAGACAGCTATAACCCACTGTAGGACCCCTCAGAGGATACGATGCCAGGCAGCTAGGGGGTCGCCCTATACCAACATCACTGCTACCATCACCACTGAACTTTAAGGTTACCTTCCCGTATGTTCGTATGTATGCATTTATATATAGTATGTATGAACGTGTGTGTGTGGCTTATTGAGGAGCACAGAGATAAAGGTGAAAAATCAGCTGTGAATGTAGTGGAGAGTGAGTCGACCACTTTCACTGTTGAGACTATGTTGGTACTAATGTCAGCAGTGTACCTCCTGACCCCACACTCTCCCTCCCTCCCTCACTCACTCTCACTCTCTCCATCACCACCAGCTGGGAGTGGAGTACCACACCATCTGAGGAAATGGGTACCACAACAGCTGGGGCTGAGATACCAGCTGGGGCTGGGGTACCAGAATAGCTGGGGCTGGGGTACCACAGTAGCCGGGGCTGTGGTACCAGCTGGGGCTAGGGTACTGCAGCAGCTGGGGCTGGGATACCACAACAGCTGGGGCTAAGGTACCACAGCAGCTGGGGATAGTGTACCACAGTAGCTGGGGCTGGGGTACTACATCAACTGGGGCTGGGGTAGCCCAGGAGCTGGGGGTGAGATAGGGAGCAGTGAGGGTATAGGGCCGGCCACTAAGGGGCCCAGCACAGTGAGGGCCTTGTAGTGTGCACTTCTCATAGTGGTGCCGGAGGTGGGGGCGGGGGAGGGCCTTGGTCAGTGTCCTGCCCTTCTTGGCTCTCAGCGTCTTCTGCCCCTCCTCCTCCGCCCCTCCTCTGCTCCTCCTCCTCTCCTCCTGTGCCCCACCTCCTCTCCTCCTCCTTAGTCCTTCCTCCGCTCCTCCTTCCCTCCCACTGCCCACAAGGTCATCCTTATCTTTAATTCAAATTAGCATCAAATTCTCTCTCTCTTTCTATCACGCACACTCTTTCACTCTCTCTCTCTCTCTCTCTCTCTCTCTCTCTCTCTCTCTCTCTCTCTCTCTCTCTCTCTCTCTCTCTCTCTCTCTCTCTCTCTCTCTCTCTTTCTTTCTTTCTTTCTTTCTTTCTTTCTTTCTTTCTCTCTCTCTCTCTCTCTCTCTCTCTCTCTCTCTCTCTCTCTCTCTCTCTCTCTCTCTCTCTCTCTCTCTCTCTCTCTCTCTCTCTCTCTCTCTCTCTCTCTCTCTCGAAGGTAGAAGGTGGTGAAGGCCAAGACTGTGGGTAGTTACTAAGCGTTATGTCCACCCACTTGGACTGGACGGTTGAGTGACGATCTCACTTCTTGGAGATCGGCGTTCAATCCCCGACCCTCCAAGTGGGTGATGGCTGAACACCATTCCTTTCATCCGTCCCACCCCCTAATCTTTATCCTCGCACACACAAAGTGATGTGGTGGAGGCTGACTCCATACACAGTTTCAAATGTACATATGATAGAGCCCAATAGGCTCAGGAACCTGTACACCAGTTGATTGGCCGTTGAGAGGCGGGACCAAAGAGCCAAAGCTCAACCCCCATAAGCACAACTAGGTGAGTACAACTGACTATATTGCACTTGGAATGGATAAGGATTAGGGATGGGACGGAGGGTGGGAAGGAATGGTGCCCCAACCACTTGGACGGTCGGGGATTGAACGCTGACCTGCAAGAAACGAGACCGTCACTCTACCGTCCAGCCCAAATGGTTGAGTGTGAATTAGCTCAGAACATTAAACAACCAATGGTTAGAAAGGCGGGGTCCAAGAGCTAAGAGCTCGATCGTGTCGGCACAAATAGTAAAAATAATATATGCCGAGGGGAAGTGATGGCAGAGAATATATTAAAGGTTACTTATAAAGGTCTCCAGATAAATTATAGGGGTAAGTTATCACGGGAGATTATACGTATGAATTATAGAGGGCGCTGAGCGGGTGGTAGACTGGTGGACAGTCATACAGGCTCACAGTACTGAGTACTGTGCAGTACTGGCTCACAGTACTGAGTGCTGTACTGTACAGTACTCAGTATTGTACGGTACTGACTCACAGTACTGAGAAACCAGCGGGTATGGTGGTGTGGTGGTGTATTCACCTAGTTGTGCTTACGGGGGTTGAGCTCTGCTCTTTCGGCCCGCCTCTCAACTGTCAATCAACTATTACTAACTATTCCCCCCCACACACACACACACACCCAAGGAAGCAGCCCGTAACAGCTGTCTATCTCCCAGCCATCTATTTACTGCTAGGTAACGGGAGAATCGGGGTGAAAGAAACTGCCCATTTGTTTCCGCCATCGCCGGGGATCGATCCCCGGGTCATATGACTACGAATCCAGAGCGCTGGCCACTCAGCCACAGGCACCCTTATGTGTTGGTAGTGTGACGCGACTAATAATCACGGGCCAGGGTTTGTGACTGGCCTTGTATGAGGACAGTTACTGGAGTACGTAGATAATTCCGGACTAAACAGTTGGGCAGAGGGGGAGCAGTAATGGCCAGTCAATATGGAGCAAGGAAGTCTAGGTGTAAGATGAATATTTAATTATAAATATTTGGAGAGCTGATTTTCTTCCTCTACACCTTCCCTCTTAATTCTTCCTCCACACCTTCCCTCTTAATTCTCCCTCTGCATCTTCCCTCTTAATTCTCCCTCTACACCTTCCCTCTTAATTCTTCCTCTACACCTTCCCTCTTAATTCTCCCTCTACACCTTCCCTCTTAATTCTTCCTCTACACCTTCCCTCTTAATTCTCCCTCTGCACCTTCCCTCTTAATTCTTCCTCTACACCTTCCCTCTTAATTCTCCCTCTGCACCTTCCCTCTTAATTCTTCCTCTACACCTTCCCTCTTAATTCTTCCTCTGCACCTTCCCTCTTAATTCTTCCTCTACACCTTCCCTCTTAATTCTCCCTCTGCACCTTCCCTCTTAATTCTTCCTCTACACCTTCCCTCTTAATTCTCCCTCTGCACCTTCCCTCTTAATTCTTCCTCTGCACCTTCCCTCTTAATTCTTCCTCTACACCTTCCCTCTTAATTCTCCCTCTGCACCTTCCCTCTTAATTCTTCCTCTACACCTTCCCTCTTAATTCTTCCTCTGCACCTTCCCTCTTAATTCTTCCTCTACACCTTCCCTCTTAATTCTTCCTCTACACCTTCCCTCTTAATTCTTCCTCTACACCTTCCCTCTTAATTCTTCCTCTACACCTTCCCTCTTAATTCTTCCTCTGCACCTTCCCTCTTAATTCTTCCTCTACACCTTCCCTCTTAATTCTTCCTCTGCACCTTCCCTCTTAATTCTTCCTCTACACCTTCCCTCTTAATTCTTCCTCTGCACCTTCCCTCTTAATTCTTCCTCTACACCTTCCCTCTTAATTCTTCCTCTGCACCTTCCCTCTTAATTCTTCCTCTACACCTTCCCTCTTAATTCTTCCTCTACACCTTCCCTCTTAATTCTTCCTCTACACCTTCCCTCTTAATTCTTCCTCTACACCTTCCCTCTTAATTCTTCCTCTACACCTTCCCTCTTAATTCTCCCTCTGCCTAGAACCTCTCACTATATAATGTCTTCCTCTTTTTTCCTTCTTTCTCCCTCTTTCTCCTCCAACTCTTCCTCTTGACATCTCTCATACCACCCTTGTATAACTCAAGGTTAAAAAGTTGTCTGAATCATTTATAATTCTCATTGTCTGGGACAGGAAGCCTGTGTATACCTAAGGTTACTCATGTGCCACCATCTCTAGTAGTCTCCGCGAGGACAGGAAGCCGGCAGTTTGTCAAAGGTCCTCCCATTTGTCTTGATAATTTTATCCACCTGGATTTTTAATTACAGCAATGTTTTAGTATTTACTGCTTCGACGGGTAAGCGGTTCCATTTGTTCATTACCCTATAGGTGAAAAAAACCGTCTTGTCTTCCCTACATTGTGGCTTGAGGTTGAAGCTATGTAACTCCTTGTGTGTGTTAAATTTGACCTTTTAAAGAAGTGTTCTGGATCAGTATTCTCAAAGTTGTTCAGTATTATAAGTTTCGATGGGATGAGCTTTAGTAATGGCTGGTTTGTAGTGTTATTACTAGTTAGTTCTGTGGTCCACTTATATAGTTCTGGCACTGTTCTTAACGCTCGGTGTGGAACTTTCTCCAAAGCAGATATTTCCTTCTGAATATGACTTGTAGAATTACTTGTTTAAAATACAGATAGAACAAATCTTCAGCCACACTGCCATGGGAAGGGGGACCTTTATATTTAGATTTTTTATTCAGGTAAAGGTATATAAATAGAAGATGAATTACAAACATAATGTTGGATTTATAGATAGAGCTAGTACATGCAATAAATAAAGCCACTAATACCCACAGCATTTCAGGCAAAGTCGTCGGCTTCCTGTCCCCATGGAGGGGGGATAGTATGGCCCCTCAGGTAACTTTGAGTTGTGAGACGTGGACTCCCTGTCCCAGCTTCCCCCCCCCAGAGTTTAGCTTCCCATTTTCTGGGAGAGGAAGGAAAAGTGTATGAGGCGGTCCCTATATAACCTTCCTGACGCGGCCAGTGGTCCCCTGTGTGTGTGTGTGGTGTTCCTGGCCAGTAACTGGATGGGTAACCACCTACGGTCCGTCTAATTACCACAAGCTTCACAAAGCTTCCTGGCAATACGTTAGTAATGAATAAATATGATATATTTACTCATTATAATGTTGGTGCTGAATGTACAACACGAAAAAACATAATTTTAATCTGAAAAAGTATCTGTTTATAAAGAAATTAGACGAAAATAAAGAGCTGGTGACGCCAAATCAAGTCGACGAGCCAAGCGTCGGTTAGGTTAGGTTAGGTTAGGTCAGGTCAACCTAACCTAACATATAATATTTATTCATTACTAATGTATTGCCAGGAAGCTTTGTGTAGCTTGTGGTAATTAGACGGACCCACCACCTACTCACACCCTTAATTAATCCCGCTTTTCCTATATCCACTCCCCCCCGCAGTCCACCTAGCAGTAAACAGGCACCCAGGAGTTAGTCAACTTGTTTACTTGTTTACGGGGCTATTCATGCCTGTGCCACCTCTTGGCTGGCTTGATCTTCATCAATCAATCAATCAGCTTGTTGTGGGGTTGTATCCTCGGGGGGGGGGGGGGGGGAGGAGGACCTCGATATAAGCTTAACATGTACTGTATGTATATACAGTCTGCCTGTCCCCCGACACAGTGAATTATTATTATATATATATTAGACTTTGTATAAGACTGGAGTAATAGGCTTGGAATAAGTTTACATTGAAATATTAGACTTGGTATAAGTTTACATTGAAGTATTAGACTTCATATAAGTTTACTTTAAGACTGAATGTGAGAATGGTTGTCTTCTGTGTATTATTGCAGGCCGGCCAATCTCTGAGAAGGTGCAGCACTTTCTCAAGATTTCACTTTAATTACTGTAATTTTCATCACATTTCATCGCAGAATTGTTTTATTAATGAAGTCTTAAATAACCTCAGAAGCACTGGTACTGTATTTCATAACAAACTCTTGACAAATTTAAGAATTGTGAAGATTTGTGAATTTGTCGGAAATGAAGAGGGGGCCATAGATATATCGCAGCGCTTTCTTAAGATTACTGCGAGAAGTCTCTGAATAACAGCCACAGTCGTAATTGGATACAGAATAATGTATCCGGATTTGTAGAATAATAATTTTTATCCTTTATCCAGAGGGCTTAGGGACTAAGAGCTGAGACACACTTGAACCTGCTACACCAAATGTCTTTTAATAATAATAATAATAATAATATATTTTATTTAGGAAAAGTACATACATAGATGCAATGTTACAAACATTCTGATTGATTTATAGATAGAGCTAGTACGTACAATACCTAAAGCCACTAGTATGTACAATGTTTCGGTTTCTTGCTCTATATAGCCTGACTGTTCTAATGTCTTCCTGTATATAGTTTGACAACACCTAATGTTTTGCGCTATATAGTTTGACAACACCTAATTTATTAACTAAACAGAAGTTAGCCTAATCTATAAATGCCCAGTAAAAATAATCTTGAATTAGTAACTAAAGTTTTACACTCACAATGAGTATATATATTAAGTGTATTGCTCTTTAACCTATATGTCATTAGCACTCTTTACAAAATACTGTATTTATATACATACATGTTAAATGTACTATAGTCATGCTCCATGTAATATTTTTTTTAATAAACTATTACCATTATTATAATGTACAATTATATATTATTATTATAATAAAATAATTATATATTGTTCATATTATGAACTGATTGGTTGAATTTTTTGTTTTTTCATAAATCTGTAGGCATTTTACATTTGTAATTGTTTTCATCAAGAACTTAGATTTTTTTTGTTTTTAGTGTGGATTACATGTGCCATAAGCTATACCTTTAACCCTTAAACAATGGTGCTATTTAAAGATACTGTACAGTACTGTATTACACACAGAAATCATGATAATGTGATACATAGATGAACAAATCCACAAGGGTTTGTTCACTGATGCATCACGTTATTGTGATTTCTGTGTGTATTGAAGTAAGGGTGAAGAGGTAGAACAGCCTATTGACATAGCTCGAGTGCAGGGGGGAGTTGTGTAAAACCCTGGTTTGTGTCTCGGAGAGGCTGCAGGATCCAGTAAGTTCAGTAGAACTTCAGTTTCAACTCTTTTTGACCATGTCGTAGCTCAGTCGATTAAGGCAGCGTCTGGGATGATCTCGGACATAGGTTCGAATCCTCGTCACGGCCCTTGTGGATTTGTTTATACAGTATTGTACTTCATTGCACATTCTCCTGTTATTTACATATGATAATCATCAACTGGGCAAAACTGTTGTAATTTTTTATTTATCTGTGTATATTTTCCCCTTTAAACATATCTTTTCATTCCTTCATTTGATTCTACCATTATTCCACAGGCTACTAGCATCGTTACACTTTTTATATGAAGAATGGCTGTCGTATATGTTGATGAGAAGAGTGCCATTATAGACCATGAGTCCTGGATAATGGAATTAATCAGGAAGCACAAATTTAACCTCCGAGAAGATGAACCTTCCAAATATATCAGAATAAAGTTTCAAGATTTATTTGATCTTCGAACACCATATTTGATGGTAATATAAATACAGTATTCATTTTGTTACATTCATAATGCTAATTTGTCTAATAGGTGAATATATATATATATATCTTGCAATAATGATTAAAATATTTTTGTTTAATCCTCAAAATGTGCATTTCTCTCAGCCCTGGTCGTCACTATTAGGGGGTCTGATATTGACTATTGTGTGTTTGTTTCAAATGCTTGTATGCACATTACAGTGGGACCTCGATTTACGATGGTAATCCGTTTCCAGAGATGTATAGTAAGTCGAAGCAATTTTCCCCATAAGAAATAAAGGGAATTGAATTAATCCGTTCCACATCTGCAAAAATATTAACTTAAAAATACATTTTATACTGAATACAATTTTTTTCTCTAACTACAATACAGTACATATGTTTATCTTACCTTTATGGTGGACTCTTGATGGTGTATGGAAGATGGTGATGAGGAGGAGGAGGAGAGGTGTTACTGTTTGGAAGGGGAGTCCCCTTCCATTATAACATCAGGCAGTGATGGGGTACACTCTCTCCTATGTTTTGCCTGCATACCACTAGGACCTGGTTGTGGTTCACTGCTTATTTGTCTCTAAAAATTTGTCTACCGACACTTGTTTTTCCCTTCATTTTAACATTTGTCTGTAGTGATGCATCACAGTGTCATTGAAAAGGTTAAGGCAACGGCCTACTTCAGCTTGCTCTGGGCGAGTCGTTTCAACAAAAGTATGCATTTCTTCCCACAGTCAACACCAATTCCTAATTGTTGAGGAAGGGACATTCTGTTTTGCCTCCTCCTTCCCAGAAGAAATTTGCTCAGCTGCCTCTATGTCCATCCTCACATGTGTTTTCATATGTTGAACCTTACCACTGACTTTCTTGGAACCCATGGGACCCATTCCAAAAAAATTGAATTTCTTATAAGCGTGATTGTCAGTAAGCGAGCGGCTCTAGTAAATTGAGGCAGGACGGCCAGCACGACCATGAACCATGCGCTCGGTTGACCCGAACGTGTATCAACGAATATGTTAGTCGACGACACTATCGTAAGTCGAGTTGCATTTTCCAATCAAATTTATATCGTAACTCGAAATTGTCGTAAGTCAGGGCAATCGTAGGTCGAGGTGCCATTGTATTTCCAATTCAACATGTGCATGATTCTTGAGGATGGTTTGCAGAATGATCCCTGTCGTGCAATTGAGTAGTGATATAACTGCATCACTTTCAGTCAATGCATTGTGGTGCACTACACAACATGGCATCCTACTGTATACTGAACTGACTGCTGCATAATAGTTTTCCTTGCTCTTGGTACTTTGCAAGCACCATGTTATACTACTATCTATTTTACACGCTGTTTCTGTGCTTTCAGTTAATGCTATGCCCCATAGTGCTCATGTTTGTAAAAACTGCCCACTTTGCAAATGTTGTTACAGTAATGGGGCTACAGATAAGATGACAAAACCTTACAACAGAAAATGGAGAAATGGAAACATCTCCGTCCGTCCTGGACTATTAACAAGTCATGTGGTCTAAGACGGACAGAAATGTTACACAGTAATTGCTTGCTTTGAGCCTTTGCTTTTGGTGACATATTCATATCTATGGTACAATGACATTAAAATTAAAAACTGTAGGAATTACAAAATAACAAAAATGGGGAAACAGATTACCTCACATGGAGGTGTGGTTGTCATTTCTAGGGGTACAATTTTGTCTGAAGTTTGCAGATGATAATTCAAAGCACTTTCAATTTATCTGCACAATATTGCTAATTTGGCTTTTTCCTTTAGGATGGTCAAGCAGAGAAAGTAGCCAGAGAACTGGAAGGGGATGGTGACCCCCCTACACAACCAGCAAAGAAAAAGAAAAAGAAAGGTATTGTATTTATTTATTTACATTTTTCCTCATATTTTTGTGTCATATCCATCATGTAAACCATTAGTGGGCCAGCCACAGGCTTAGGGCCCGCGCAGGAATATCCCTGCAAAAAAAAAAAAAAAAAAAAAAAAATCATGTAAAGCGTGATGACACTTTAGGAAACTTATGTCCGTTTCTGTGAAATGAAATGGTTTTTTCTTTAACTTGTGCATGTGCTATACGGTACTGTATTTATTTGTTATATCTGCGTGTGTACACTTTATATTTGTTCATGTACATGTACCATACTTGTGTCTGTACACGTATAACAGTTAATATACATATGCTATGCAGTATTTGGCCTAGCTAGTATTTCCATGTGTTTTTATGTACCGTACAATCTTGCTACATAACACTGTGGTTCATTTAGACCCCCTACAAACCATAATCTCAGCACTCAAGATATGTCATAAGTTGGGTACTTCCAGGGTCTATTGCCAGAGACAACATGCAGAAAAATAAGAAATGTGTGCAGCATCAAAGTATTCCAGCTGATATTTGATGAAATTCTGTATAACGTATTTATTCTATTTTTAATTTGTTAGTAGCACAGTACAGTATAACCAAAACAAATATAAGTACACTACAGTATATTTACTTGACATTGCATTCTCTTGAGGACCATCTGATGCTAATACAGTATTCCTATGCAGGCGATGAGTCACAATAACGTGGCTAAATTATGTTGACCAGACCACACACTAGAAGGTGAAGGGACGATGACGTTTCGGTCCGTCCTGGACCATTTTCAAGTCGATCCTCAAAATGGTCCAGGACAGACCGAAACGTCGTCGTTCCTTCACCTTCTAGTGTGTGGTCTGGTCAACATAATATTCCTATACTCTGGCATTACTGTACTACAGTATATTTATACATTTCAGAACATGGGAGTCAAAATGAGGAAGAGTGCGAGGCAGAAGTGAATCACATCATGGAAGTGTTTACGTCGCTTCAGTTAAGATTGGAGTTCAAATGCAAGTTTCAGTTTGTACCAAAAGCTGATGATTACAGAAGCAACAATAAACAACTAAGAGATCTGAGGAAAAGGTAGCAGTAAAGTCTTGGCTTATACCACATGCAGTACTGTACAGTACATACTTGCATTTCTTTATCAAAATGTAAATTTTTGTATTAAATTATGGGACAATCTTAGCACTTTCATCAGTCAAAAGTTAACTGCAGATTTATACAAACTGAGATGATTCGGCTCACTAATTACAGTAGTTTGCTATATCCAGCAATGTAGAGCAATTGTTGTTTGTAATTTTTGCTAAATTTATTTTGATTAAATTGATAGAACACGAGTTTGTATATAGGTAATATATTGATAACAATAAAATTACAGTTCCAGTAGTTAAATTAATAATTTAACCCCTGCACTGTGCACCTAGTTTTAGCAAAAACTTCTTAGTGCAGTTGTCAAGAACATATTTTTTGTTGTTTTTATAAATATTCAGGTAAAGTTAATGTCAAAATGTTTCCAAACTCAACTATTTCCATTTCAAAACACAAATAGTAATGAAAACCATAAAAATCATTAAAATATAGCCTAGTTAAAAAAAAAAGGCACAACTCTCAGAGCGCCTAAAGGCCCTTTGCGCAGTGCAATGGTTAATAGATTTACTTACCTTTTCCCGAGACAGTTAGTTATACCAATTAAGAAGGTAAAGTTCTTATCTGGGTGATCATTGGTCTCTGAACTTATTGTTTTAAAAATCTAAATTTCGTGCTTTGTCCAGTAAAATGGCACTAAAAAATTACCATATAATCTGCATATATTCCATAAGTACATACTATATGTTAATATGGTAAGTATCCTCAAATGAACTTAATGTATTGGGAAAATATTTGTCATCCAAATTTATGACATCTAGGTGTAGTTTCATACATGTGATTTTTGTATGAAAATGTATGCCTGTGTGTTCCATCATTTGCACTACAGTAATGCAAATACCTGTACTGTACATTAATTTGGGTAAAAAATAGCAAAGATCTTATCACCATCCCATTCATGCGGAAATATACTGCAGTACAGTACCATATATTTCCGTGTAAAATGTATGAAAATGTTAATACAGTAGTGATAATTTTAGCATTCATTTTAATTTCAACTTCGTTTTGTAATTGAAATATGTTGTAGATTTACAGAAGTCTCCATCACAAAACTGCCACAGTTGGACAACTATTATGGTGGTAGTGAATTTGATGGGCATGTGGTGAATGGCATCAAGTATATGCTGCCTCCAGGGGTTCGATACGTGAGTGACGACGTTGCTGCTATTAAGTCACACTTATCAAAAGCCAAATTTGACGTGGTTGTAATGGATCCACCTTGGCAAAATAAATACGTAAGACGACGAACTCAGAACCATGGAATTCATCATGGGTAAGACTAGTTTTTATAATGCAATTGCCTTTTGTACATGTACATGTATAACTTTGCCTTTGCCTTTTTTTATTTAGTAAACAGATGTATATCCTCTATTTAAAACAATTTGTATGTTATTGAAAAAGAGTATCAATTAATTATTAAAAGGAATAGATTTTTCTGTGGATGAGATAATCGCCATGTTTAAGCAAAAAATCCGACTCGGATTAACTTGCCATTTATATATAATTTCCACACAGAATTAAACATCTCATCTCGGGTGTGGATGGCAGTGTTGCTGGGGCACCCATCCCTCTTGCAGGTGCTTGTGCTCCAGATCAGTTTGAAACTGGTGCTTCTGTGTGTGTGTAATTACCTAAGTGTAGTTACAGGATGAGAGCTACGCTCATGGTGTCCCGTCTTCCCAGTACTCTGTCATATAACGCTTTTAAACTACAGTACAAGTTACAGGAAAGATGAACAAGTTACACAAATGGTTGCAATATTCAATATAATATAGTCCTATGGTTATAGACTACACACTGCCAAAACTTTGTCCAAAAGCTAGCAGAAGACGTCAGTTTTTTCCAGGGGGTGGGGGGGGGGGGGGTTGGAGCCCTGGTCACAGTCGCAATCAGTGTCACCAGACTGCACCAGGCCTCGGAAAAGAAACCCCTCTCTTCCTTGTCCCCAAACTCTCTTAAACCTTTACTTTCTTTCCTTACCTCCTACCTAGTTTATAGGCCTCACAATACAGTATATTGCTTCCTCTCTACACATCCTTGGTGATATTTAGCGCCCTCTGATTATTCCGCACATTTGATGGTGCTACATAGCCTTCCCGATTTGGTGCCTTCTTTTGATAATTACTTACTTACTTCCTCTCTACACAAGGCCTGGAAACAGATGTTTATTGCCCTGCCTTATGGGTTTTAACTACCACCAACATAAACACTATGCTGCCACACACCTCCTATTAAAAAATACTCCTGTATCAAAGCACTCTAAATTGCATTAAAATGAAATAGCTGTAATTACAGAACTCAAGCTTATAGTGTTAGTGCAACATGCATCCAAGTTGCTATGAACATACCATTTCATTTTAACTGTGAGGTATAATGATGAGTAGTTTTAAATATGCCTTTCTTTTTTAGTGATTAGCTTATCAGTGTTTTGAAAATTTCAGAACCTTTGCCTCACCTGTCTTTAAGTACTGTACATTTAAAATTATTTTGAGACTAGGAACGAGTAAATTTTCTATAGGTTTTATTTATGCAGCTAATCCATCAAAAATGCGCTGCCTTTACTATTCTCTCACTTTTTATTAAGAATTGGCAAAGAGTATATTACATTTTATATAGAAATACAGTTGCAGAACTTTATGTACACTCACCATTACCTCAATATTACTTCAGCCAAGGAATAACTTTAATAAACTTTTTCCCTAGATACAGCATGATGACTGTGCGAGAAATAGTCGAGCATCCAGTAGGTGATCTTCTGCACGATGGAGCTCTTCTGGTCATCTGGTGCACCAACAATAGTTCTCTTATACAAGAACTCGTCCAAGCACTGTGTGTCTGGGATGTGCAACTTGTTGCAACATGGTATTGGCTTAAGGCAGGTTTTATTGTTTATGTGAAAATTAAGAAGTTGAGTTTTAAACTCTATTTTTTTTTATAATTTTTTTGGATTCTCTACAGTATTCTCCATTGACTCCACAGATAACTAAAGCTGGAGAACTCATTACACCACTCAAAGGAGCAGGTCACGGCAAACGTCCGTATGAACGTGTTTTGCTGGCTAGGAAGATTAGCCCTGGGATAGTTTTTAAAGATATTCCAGATGGTTTGGTATTTTGTAGCGTTCCATGTGGGATACATTCACACAAGCCCCCTCTTGAAGGTAAGACATATTGTAAACTGAGTGCAGTAGTGTTATTGAACAATATTAATAATTTGAAAGATAGTGTACACAAAGGATCACATTTCAATGGTACTTAGTAGGTACTGTATTTTATAATGCCACAAATTATGCAGTGATAAAGTGGTCTCTCAAATCACACAACATTTTAAAGCTTGATTCTCATGCTGATTTTAAATCTTTGCTCACCCCTGCCTTGGCTTCCTTTGTAATTCAGTCAGCCAGCTTATTTTGGATTAGCTGCTCATAGGCCTATAGAGCTTTGAGATATATACAAGAGTTGTTACATTCTTGTACAGCCACTAGTACGCGTAGCGTTTCGGGCAAGTCCTTAATCCTATCGTCCCTTGAATACGATCCCCTGCCGCGAAGAATCGTTTTTTCATCCATGTACACATTTTACTGTTGCGTTAAACAGAGGCTACAGTTAAGGAATTGCGCCCAGTAAATCCTCCCCGGCCAGGATACGAACCCATGACATAGCGCTCGCGGAACGCCAGGCGAGTGTCTTACCACTACACCACGGAGACTGCTTTTATTTTTTTTTATTTTGCAGCTATTACAATTCCAACTGATTTGGTTACCTCCTGCAGGAACTTGGGATGCTCCCACTTGAAATATTTAGCCATTGTTTTGGCAATATTTTTTATATTTGCTGGTAGGTGGTGGTAGTTTTCCACACTTAGGGGCTGTTTTTGGAGCGCTGTGTTTGACAATTTGAACTCTTGGGGCCATTTTGCTTTCTTCCCACTCTGCATAAATAAGTTTTCATAGTAAATCAATCTATGCACAAAGAAATCATATTAACACTGTATCAATGAGAAAATCATCTTGGGAGTACCCAGAGCATAGGTTCAAATCACCCTCGTGGCTTTTACCGATTTCTCAATTCATTCAATTTATGGTCATATGCAATGGTTTGCGTGATAGATTTATTCTTTAGCAATTCAGTATTGTAAACTCACTTCCTTAGGCAAAACATTTAATTTTAGCTTAGTGTATTCTTTGTATACACTACCCAGTTCAAATGAACTTTTCCAATTTCATTGTTTTTATTGATCGTGACCTTTAGTATGAGTGCAAAAATTTTATGAGAAAATGAGGGGGGGGGGATGTTGTAGATCAGAGAACTTGAAAAAGTTAAAAAAATAATAATAGCCTCCAGGATTAACATTTGCTGTGGCCACACCTGAATGGAGATACCGAGGGAAAGTAAGGCATCATGTGCATGGGTAGAACACGTGATGCTTTAAGTGTCATATTTTCTGGATTATCCATGTCTTAAAGTAACCGCAAGGTCTTTGTGTAATGACACTGGTTTTTAATTTGTACATCACATTTGACTGCCTGTGTTCCAAGTAATTACAAAATAGAAAGTGTTGGTACCCTAAAGTCTGTATGATAACCTGCTATCCTGTTTTTTGTTGTTAGTATACTCAGGTTTATTGTAATTTATATACAGCAATATGTTGGTCTATACCGAGAGGTAAGCTACCTAACATTTACTAACTTATCTGGATGGTAGTGCAAGTTGAATTTAATGAAAATACATTAATGGTAGAAATAAGGATGAAACTCCTTATTTGAATGAAAGATGAAGTAAATGATTGCTTACCACCAACACGGCACATGCATTAGCTCCTTTCTTTACAGTTCTTTCCACTGTACTTGTTCTTATTAACAAAAGGCCAGAAGGTTTAGCAATTCAGTATTGTACTCACTTCCTTATACAAAACATTTATTTTCAGCTTTCATATTCTGTACAAATGTTTCTTCTTTTCTATACATTGCATTTAATATTGCATTATCCAACAGAACTTCTGAAAGAATACATAGCAGAGCAGGCTCGATGTTTGGAGTTGTTTGCACGAAGCCTAATACCTGGGTGGACATCGTATGGCCTTGAAGTACTGCGTTTACAGCATTCATTTCTTTATGAGGATTCAGATAAAGATGGATGAAATGTTTGATTTTTCTCAATGTTGTGTAGTCATTTTTATTTGATAAATCATTTCAAACAAATCAGTCTATTGTTGATATAATGTACACCCCTCTTAATAAATAAATTAAAATGAAAGCAGCCTTTCCATCAACTACAATAATTATTTAATGTGTTTAAATTTTAAACATTATTTGCATCAAAGTTATGCATAAATAGATGGTCCACTGAAATTAATTCTACTCGTATCTAACAACTAAGCAGCCTTAAGATGAACCATGAAAAGTATTGGATAATCTGACCTAATATACAGTACATCTAAACAAGGTATAATACAGCACAGTTTAGCTACAATTGTACACCCATCTAAAATTAAAATGGCAACAATGTCACTTTTAAATTTTAAGGGGTGAAAAACTAAAATGGTAAAGAAAAGATGATATTTTAATTGCAAAAGGAGGCATATGTAAAATACAATGTTGGTTTATTTTCTATGACAAATATGTACTGCCACATTTCAACCCCAGACTGGATACTGTAGACAATACCTTTAATATTTTGTACCATGATAACAGTGAGAATGTGACAATTTTCACACTGGCATGTAAACATTACATATAACCACAAAGTTAACTACAGTACTAACAAAAATTATTGAATGGCAACTATAATTCTTGACAAGTGAGCAGAAATGATGAAAATTCATGTGGTCATTGTAAGCTCGCTTAAAACCTATCAAGAGAACATAATCATGTTCTTCCTAGCAATCTAATTTGCCAAGAAATATCAGATAAAGGATTATTGAACGAGATGTATGAAAACCAACACTAGCATAGTACCATTTCAGTACTGTAATACTCAACTCGCAATGCAATGAATTATTGTACAACTTGTGTCCATGCAATTTTCAGGTTGATATACAGCCACTGCAGTAATTATATAAAATAGATCTCGATGTCTCAACAATTTGTGTTCGAACTCGCACAATGCAGGTGAATGTTCATACTGTATCTACAACAAACCACGGGACGTCAAGGATCGCTTGCACTATACAACACACCAATTTTCACACATTCATTCCAAGGTACTGTACTCCAGGAACCTACATATAGGTGAAGTTGAACCTGAAAACAGAATAAAAAACAAATTATTATACATGAATATATTCACTCGTGTATCACACTACATTTAAAACACAAATAGCTTATTGAATAAAGTAAAAATCACTATAAAAACTATTAGGACCACCTAAGCCTTGCATCTTCAAGGGACAAGAAAGTTGCAAGGCCAAGCTTAGCTTTTCATCCAGTTTTTTGAAGTAATAATATTCAATAGTATGTAATTTGAGAAGTTTATATAGGTAAATGTGTGGAACATCATAAGCTAAAATATATAGTGATCATATCTTAACGAATTGTACAGTATATTACTGTATATTCTTAGATCAACAAAACGGGTTTTGCTGTTATTACATTATATACCGTACATGCATTATTTATATCTATCTATATTTGTATAAACCACAACAAACCACCAATTAATTCTAGTGTGGGGGGTAATAAAATTTTAGCACAGTATAGAGCTACATGCTACGACAAGCCGACTCCAACTGATGACGTCACCTGGCGGAGCAAAATACCCACAAATATACTACTCGGATCACAATTATTAATACAAACACTGCTATTATTATCATATTAATGTCACTAAATCATGAATACGATTCATTTTCCACAAGTTTGTTTTCTAAAGAAACATGAAGTCTCATTGCATGATACATAGATTCACGAAACCTCGGCTGTGTGCTATGAATGTCTGCCTCATGCTGTGAACATCATAATTAGCATTGTGTTCAATGATATTTTGCACATAATTTTTATTAGTAAAGATATTCTCTGACACTATCGTTACAAAATAATTGCAGTTACTTATTCTATTCATTATTATTAAGTGGTGCTATGGCCCATTGTGCAGCTGTGTTGCGAGTTGGAGCTGCATGCACCAGCCTTGGTTGCTCCTGCAGTACAGTACTGAGGCTCTCACAGCCAGGAGGGATGCAGATGATTTTTTTGCAAGATGATGTCTGTTTACTGGAGTCCCGAGGAACAGGATGTGAGCCTAGTGTACCCATGGGAGTTTTGAATCATTCACTATACCTAAATACACCTTAAGGCACTATGTGCACCACCAGTTGAGTGCCTTAAGATGCTATGTGCAATGCAGGGCTTAAAGATAAAATAAAAGTCAACCTACATGAAATATAATGTTCTATTCTGTTTACGCTTACATATGCTACATAAGGTGTGAAACTGTTTATTTCTTGCATTAGCAGACTTCTGGTGTATTTTGTGACAACTTTTGTTTATTGTAATTACAGCATTTGTTTATGCATTTTAACACACATATATCATCAAAATACCTGAACATTAAAAACTATATTTTAAACAAAAATAAAAGTAGAACCCCTGGGTAGGGAAGGATGCTTAAGCACCTATTATTAACTTCTCATCCCTAAATACCCAGAGGTAATTGGGAACCTGGTTGTAAATATATTGGCAAATCATGTTTCAGGGAAATCTAATAAGGCATAAAATGAACTACTTGGAAGAGTGGCATGTCTGCTAAAGTCATGTCTGGTTACAAATAAAACGAGGCCTCTAATGACCTTATATTTATATGGCCTCTATAGACCATTAGAGGCCTCATTTTTATAAAAACTATGTAAGGCCTCGTTATATCATTATAAATGAGGCTGTATATAGTCCCCATACTACGTCCCATGCCAGAGTCCTTATTAGCCCCCCCCTCCCTACTAGCCTCCTTGCCCAAGTAGCTATTAGGGCAGGGGAGAGCCTCCACATCCTCCTTGACATCTTTCCTATTTTAAACTATAGTATCAAGATTGTCTTTTATTGTTAGAGATTCAAGCCTAAAGTATACAGTATATACTTTAGGCTTGTAACAAGCCCCCAAAGACAAACTACTGACCCTCCCCAGAATGCAAGCCGACAACAGTTGCCCAACTCCCAGTACTGTACCTATTTACCATTAAGTCAACAGGTGCATCAGGTGAAAGAAAATGTGCCCAACCATTTCTATTCCACCTGGGAGTGGAACCTGGTACTGTATTCCAAACTGAGTCAAGAATGAAGCCAATTGTACTACGAGACCCTTATGCTGGTAAAACAAGTACTGTATGTACATATCACCAGGTAAATACTATACTGTATAATATAAACAGATACCAACCTGCACAAAGCCTGCGGTAATGAAGAAATAATTGGTCCGTAACCTTGAGAGTTATCATATAGCTCAAATAATGGAGCAGCAACAAGTTTGTAGTTCTTCGGTACTGCAAATAATGCTGTGGATAGAATAATCTGTATCAGTTGCAAGTTACAAACTCTTCTGAACTATATCAACTAAATGCTACAATGTACTAGTATTTTTCCATGTTCTATATTTTGTAACGTCACATTACCTTGCACAATTTTTCTACTGCCACCCCAATCTTTTTTTTATATTCACCCTTTTGTTACCCAATGTTTTTACTTTCAAATTCGCATTGCATCCCAATCCCTTTACATCAATAATATGAGATATGCCTTCCCTCAATTATCACTAAAACCACATGCAGATAACTTATTCATGCCACCTCCTTGCAAATACTCAAATCACACTTGTGATGAGATTGAACATTTGCCTACAGTACCTGTACTGTATTGCATTTATATCAAGGCAAAAATCCTACAACAGCAATTTCAATTACCATTATAAATGTTAATGGTCCATAATGTTTAGTTAATAACATTAGTTTAAAACACTGTATTGTATGAAAGTCTTCCCCCGCACATTGAAACATTGACTCCAATCTAAGAAAATAGATTTATCATAGATTTCTTTAACAATAAGTATTATAGAAATTTTGCCATTCAGTCATTCTTAACACATTTTTTTACAAAATATACATGCAAGTAGTGCATACAATTTCATAATGTCTACAGTAATTACCTTTTTCTCCAAGCTGAACAAGGAAAAGTTTTTTGTGTTCCTTAGGTTTTGTAATATGTGAAGGTATATATGGATACTGTGGAGGTTCAAAGTTTGGTCTCCACCAGTTGCCAATGATATCTTCAATAACCCACTCCTGCTTGACACCATCCTGCCTCCCGAGTGTCTCTGTTAGTAGCCGCTTAAGACCTTCCACCTCATCCTCGTCTGTATTCAGTTCTCCTCCAGGTCTGTTGGGAAAATACTCAAGAATTTATTTCCATTACCAAAGAATAATATGGCTACTCCATATGCGAGACAAACTTGGAATATATTATTCTTCTCGGAATCGACTGGTTATGATCAAATATTACAAAATAATTTAAAAGTACAAGATGAAACATGGTTATATTATTTTTGTGTGGCCCAAAAATGACAAAATTCCACTAAATTGAAAGTGTGAATTTAAGGAGGATGAAAAAGCGTTGAAGTTTGTGAAGGGACAGGAAATGTAAAACCTTTCAACCAATTAACGGTTATCTTGAGGGTATCTTGAGATGATTTCGGGGCTTAGCGTCCCCGCGACCCGGTCCTTGACCAGACCTTTGTTAACACACCCCCAGGAAGCAGCCCGTAGCAGCTGTTTAACTCCCAGATACCTATTTATTGCTGGGTAACAGGGGCATCAGGGTGAAAGAAAATCTGCCCATTTTTTCCGCCTCCACCGGGAATTGAACCCGGAACCTCAGGACTACGAATCCGAGGGCTGTCCACTCAGCTGTCAGGCCCCCGTGAATAGTGACTGCATAGAAATAGTACAGTATGAATAGTGACTGCACTTACAGTTTAAAGAATGTGGTGCCTAGCTGGAGGAGAAGGACATGAGGGAGGCCATGTTCATGGACGAGAAGGACGGCTTCAACACTCCTTCGCATCCCAATTTTATCAAATTCTTCCCGCATCCTTTGGAATCTCGCTGGAACACTGGGATCTCTCTCAAATAGAGGATCTTTAGTTCCAAATGTGTAATTTGTCAAGGGATATCTGAAAGTATAACATTTAAACAATTATTCATTCAAGCCTAACAAAATAAATTTTAGTGTAATACAGCTTTACAAATTATGCAATAAATCGCCTAAAGTCTGCAGCTTCTCCTTAATAACAATTATTTCCATCAAGTAGAAGAAAAAGAAATATTAACTACATGCAATAATATCAGTAAGAATAAATTACTGGTAAACATGAATAGATTTATGCTCAATGCAGCATTTTAAATGAAGATTAGCAATTGAGTAGCCATGGAGTATCCAAGTGTCATCATCCCCCTTAAATCCACATGATTATCACCTTTACATCTTTTGCATTAACCCTTTCAACACTTTGATCAATCTGTCCAATAAATTCCTGTTGCCAGTAACTTCAACAAATGACTAATTGGATTATCTGGGTCAAGAATTTTAATTGGATTTATACAATTTGGTATTACTGTAGTACAAATCACTACTGTATATACAGTGAGTGGCAATTATGCCCGATGCTGTTTGCATGGTGGAAATTACAGATTTTTTTTTTATTTAACATGATTAATTTAATTAAATGAGGATATCAATAGAAATGCATATACTATACTGTACTTATCGACTAGAGTTTAAGAAGATTCCAGGAGGTCATACAACAAAAACATGAAAAAATTAAGTACAATATAAGACTATTTAATATAAATAAAAGTATACAGTTTAATAAAGGCCAAGTAGTATTTATAAATAGGGTAACTACATATAACTATGAACAATTTGACCATATACAGTAGGTTTTATACAAGGATACGAATGATATCTTATACGCGACAGGTTGCCAACAGATTTCAAAATCTACATAAACTTATCGAACCTAATGCAAATGTACCTAACACATCCTAACCCAAGGTAATACATCCTAACCCAATGATACCTGGAGCGGGTTTCGAGAGTTCTTCTACTCCCCAAGCCTGGCCTGGGGCCAGACTCAACATAACTATACATGTATATGGCTATGACAATCAAGATATGTGTGCTATATGCAAAGGCCTATGTACAAATTGACCAATCCGATATATCAGGAGGAAAACTGACTATGACTAAAACTCAGAATAATTAGTGTTGCAACAGTAGTAAAGGCACACATCTGTCTAATAATAAATATTAATTGATTGTGTTGGGGAACAGGGAGCCAGTGAATATATACATGTTAGACTTATATCAAGGTCCCCCCCCACCAATAAGTCAAATTATTGACCCTCCCCAGGATGCAACCCCCACAACACGCCGACTAACTCCTAGGTACCTATTTACTGCTAGGTGAACAGGAACATCATGTGATAGGAAACGCGCCCAACCATTTCCATCCCGTCTGGGATTCGAATCACGAATTCCTGAAGAGTTAAAAACAACCCCGAATGTACTACTGTCCCGCCTGTCTGTCTGTCTGCCTGTCTGTCCGAGCCTCACCAGTGTGGCTCCCAACACGTGGTAATGCGGCAACTTTGCTAAAAGCCCAATAAGTTACACAAGTATAAGCAGCGGGTGATGCCTCAAGCGGCGGTTATTTCCCTGAGCGCGGCGGGTCCGCCGGCCGCCCCGGCCATCACTCTCCTGGCAACTCGCCTCCGCAACTTACAGGCTGATTGATCGCTTAAGCGCCATTGATGGATTTCCGTTATATTTGGCACCGTAAGACGGTGGAGTGGAGTTTTTCGGCCAGCCCGTGGCACCCGCGCCCCGCTTCTGTGTCGCCATGTTGTAAACAGAGAAGCCGCAAACAAACCCTGTGATTGGCTGCTTTGGACGACAACAAGGATTCTGACTGGTTCCCTGAGATGACAACAAAGCTAATGATTGGTCACTCTCGCATTGGAACAACATCTTTTGAAAGTAAAATTTGTAATTTCTTTAATAAAACTGTAAATAACAACATGATATACTGTTAAATAAACGTTTTATAAACAAAAATAAAAATATTTCTTAAGGTTTTATTGTTTGTTTCAACTTATTAATTAATTTTCAAATAAAATAAATTTATCACAAAACACAGTGAAATCTGAAGTAGTTATTATATAACAAATATAAAGACAGTATTTAACACACACGTACAAGGGGGATCTTATATTGACTTCTTATAATAAGCTTAACTAAGTATATTGACTTCCTGCTCCCAACAACGAGACACCATATTAATTAATAAAGGAAACAGATTAATTAATACGTAAAGTTGTTATCCAAAAATGACATAACTATTAGTACAACAGTTGTAAATAGAAAATACGAACTGTTTCACCCTCTAAAAAATACACGTTTTTGTACATTGGCGTAGAGCTGTAGTTCATGTAGTTCATCAACTCATGAGCTGTCCTGTTCATGGGCCAGCTCTTGGCCCTGCGCGGGCCAAGAGCTGGGACATACTCTCCAACACTATTATCTGTGATTGACCTGTTATCAATGATTTCAGACCAAATGGTATGAGGTACTTTGAGCTCTGTAACTACTTCTTACGGAAGATATTCTTGTGCAGTACCCAGAATTTGCTAGTGGAGGCTAATAGATTAGCCTCACATATCATGTATCATATTAGCTAGCTAATAATAATATTAGCTAGATATTGGGGGATCAAAAGCTAACTCATAGCTAACTTTTGATTTAGGTAATCCGTCATATAGAATAGGGTAGCAGCACAATTGCTGTGCTAGTATCCAATTGCATACCTAAGCTTGTTAATGAAAAAAGTCTGTTAGCCCAAATGAGGTCCCAGCTAGACCAGTGGTTTCCAACCTTAATGTCCCAATTTCCCTTTTTCGGCCACCTACAGGATAATCCTGTGGACCTCCACAAAAATAGAGTTGTCAAAATTGGCTGTAGCCATTGCTACTACATATGTACACATTTGCACCAACCATGAAGGGTTACACCAACCATGAAGGGTTGCACCAACCATGAAGGGTTACACCAACCATGAAGGGTTGCACCAACCATGAAGGGTTGCACCAACCATGAAGGGTTGCACCAACCATGAAGGGTTGCACCAACCATGAAGGGTTGCACCAACCATGAAGGGTTGCACCAACCATGAAGGGTTGCACCAACCATGAAGGGTTGCACCAACCCTGAAGGGTTGCACCAACCCTGAAGGACTTAGGTTGGACCGACAACGCCCCCTACCCGAATCTCTCATTATTGCTTGCACAAGTTCCTCCTACGCCAGTGCCACACTCAAGTGATCAACCACTTCAAAAGCCTTGCAATTCCAGCGAACTTCACACACTCATACAATTTCCTTTTCTCTCAAACACCTTATTTTACTTTTGTCTACATTCGCTTTACCACTGACAGTGTCAGCGATACAAGACAACAGGACCAAACTCGCGGCGCGCGAACAATTCGTCTGTAAGTGATGATACAGCGAGCAAGTTAGGCTGTAACGTAAGGTGTTACAGGGAGGACTTGGCCCATGGTGCTTGTGTACCCGTAGACCCTCCACAAACACGTGTGTTTGGGCGGTGTTTGAGAGAAGTGGTGCCGTATATCTTGCCCCGTTGGCCAAAGGGGCAGCATAAGGTTGGTTGATAACCAAATTTTGGTTTAGTCCAACTTAAAGGACTATTATACAGTTGACCTGAATTTACCTGAGGGGCCAGCATGTCTAGTGGTGACATTGAAAGGAGGGAGATACAGAGAGGGAAGGAAAGGACGGAGAAAGAGACATAACAGAGAGAGAGGATGGATGGAGGGAGGGAGGGCTGAAGAAGATAGAGGGAGGGAGGGAGAGAGGGAGGGAGATATTGGAATGCGAGAACATTATCTAGAGCAGAAGGTGGCCATGCGAATGATAGCGAGCCATAAGTGGAGGTCTTCCCACAGTTCTCTTACTCCACGTGTCAATATTGGTGTGTCAGGTAGCCTAGTGGTCAGTAGGCTAGTGGTCAGTAGCCTAGTGGTCAGTGGTAGCCTAGTGGTCAGTGGTAGCCTAATGGTCAGTAGCCTAGTGGTCAGTGGTAGCCTAGTGGTCAGTGGTAGCCTAGTGGTCAGTGGTAGCCTAGTGGTCAGTGACCCACGTGTCAAGAACACTGATGTCAGGTGTTGTTGACATGTAGAGACTGCATGTAGATACCCCATGTGACTGACCCAGAAGTAATGGCCAGTGCGATATCGTCTAGTTACTAGCCTAGTATTACAATAAGACAACCCTTAATATCTTCACTGACTGACGATCACCACTTGTTCAGGTGTAAATTAATTACACTTTTAGGGTGTCAGTGTCCTATGTCATTTGTTGTTATTATTAGTCTTTGATTTTCTTAATTTCAGTGACTGTTAGAGTCTCAGTGTATCATACAATTGATTATTCTTATCTTAATAACTTGAGTGTTATTCAATGGCTTAGTTATGGTCTTAATGGCCTGTATTAATTCTATGATCTATTGTTGTCTCAGTGACTATCTATTTCGGGAATTGTTATTAATGTCTTCGTGGTGCGCAATCTTTTTTTTAGTGATTATTAGTTTCTGTGGGACATGAGTCATTAACCATTGTTAAATTATTACTGAGTGCAACCTTAGGTGCCATTGATTGCCTATGTGTATTGAATACGTTGAGTCTTAGAGGAGTATATAGTTGTCACTCCCATCAATGTTCCTTGTTACTGCCAGTGTCGTGTCTGTGTTCAGTCAGTTCAAATTTTGGCTGAGAGTCAGCACACTAGCGCCCTGCTTCGTATACCCTGATTCAGCCCTGAGGCAGGAGAAGCTTAGAGGCAGCACTCTTCAGTCACCTGTGAGCACCTCACGCCCCTGGTGAAGCCATTGGCCAACCTAGTGGTAGTCTAGTGGTCAGTAGTCAGTGGTAGCCTAGTGGTCAGTAGCCTAGTAGTCAGTGGTAGCCTAGTGGTCAGTAGCCTAGTAGTCAGTGGTAGCCTAGTGGTCAGCGTGACAAAATACAGGAGAAGTTTAGCAAGAAAAGGTTTAGTTAATTAATTTATTATGAACCCCATGCCTATCCTGTGTGAGGTAATTGGACCCCATGCCCATCTTGAGTAAGGTGGTTGTACCCCATATCCTGTGTGAGGTAGTTGGGCACCATGCCCATCCTGTGTGAGGTGGTTGGGCACCATGCCCATCCTGTGTGAAGGATAAGTTACAGAGGTGCATACTGGACGTGAACTGAATCCCAAAACTTGTTTAGCTAAGAAAGTTACAGCACTGACGCGCTAGTTGTACATTTTGGGTGAAGCTAGGGAAGGCTGCTAGGGTGGGCACTTAGGGAAGGAGAGGTAGAGATGACAGCTAGGGAAAGCAGCTAGGCAGGAAGCAGCAGCAGCCAGCGGCTAAGAAGGAAGGAGGAGGAGGACTAGGGCGAGCAGCGGCAGACTGTCACTTGTCGAGCAACTGGTGAACAGCAGCACATAAACCACACCCTCATGGTGGGTGGATAACCTTACTTCTCACTGAAGCTATACTTCTCATTGTATATAACCCATAACTGTTATAATAATCACTTTTAGTCTATTAATATTTCAAATTTATTTAATAAGCATTTGATTTTGTAAACTAAGACATACTTGTATCTGAGCGGCCATTCTTGAGGCAGAATTGTTTGCCATAGTCCTTGCTCTCACTCGAGTACGCGCATCCAGAGTTGACACTTTAATTCAGAGTGATTTAGTGTTATCCCTGGCGGCACTCAGCTGGTGAAGCCATAGCTAAGGTGGTGCTGTGTGAAGAAAGACATATGATAACTTGGGCAATAATGGAGTGAGAATCTTCTCACTGACGGATCCCATCCCGTACTGGCCTCAAGCTGCTTGACAAAACTGATGAGTTAGCCCAACCTGTGCTAACTCGCTTGGGTAATATCCAAGGCTCCATTACCACCTTGGATGGCAGCTTGACGGCAGCCTAAAGGCAGCCTGAGGGCAGCCTAAAGGCAGCTTGAGGGCAGACTTAGAACTCCAACAATATTGATCAACCTGAGAGATATGGCTAAATTTTACCTGAGGGCCACTAATATTAGTGGCCTCGACGAAGACAGGAAGCCAGCGGCTTGTCAAGGTTCCCGCCATTTGGCCTGATAATCTTTTCCAGTTGGATTTTAAAACTTAAACGGAGATTTAGCATTTACGGCTTCGGCGGGTAGGCGGTTCAATGAGTTTATAGCCCTCTGAGTGAAATGTAAATGTACTTACCTTACGTTACTAAGTAAATGAAAGAGAAAAAAAGATCCAATAAATTTGAAATAATTATATCTATAAATTAATGTTCACGAAACAGGATTTGATCCTGACGTATTACCCAAAATCCTAGCCTCGTATCCCAAGTTAGCCTACTATTGAGAGTACACATTGTGTAGGAGACCTAAACTGCCTCTAACTTGCTTGTGTAATGACCACGTACCGTAGCTCTGACCACAATAATGTACTTGGATCACTGCCCTTATAACATGTTCACAGGCAAATTAAAATTGCAACCAGTTCACTGTCAGTGTAAATGGTTTAGTCTGTAAGTCTAAATGTGTCTTTAGCTTGGAGAGAGTACTGTGGCAGGCCAGGAGGCAGCACCATGGCAGGCCAGGAGAGGAGAGTACTCTAGGGCGGCATTAGGCAGCCTGGCCGCCTATAAAGATGAACCATCCTGCCCTGGGCGTGGTGTTGCCCACACTAGGGGCAACCTCGCCCCCTTCACCACCCTCCTAGTATACTCTATCATACTTCTATCATACTAGACCCATATTATAGACATTATAGCAGGTAAACATGGCCGTTCGTTGCTCGCACCTGCACTCCTTCAACAGCTGTAGTCAGTTGACAAGTTGTATTTATTCAACAGCTGTGGCGCCTCTGTTAATTGTGTTTTTTTAATCATACACGTATTTAATTGATTGATATAGTGACTGTGAGGGGCTGTGTTGTATGGTAGATGGCCAGGGTTCGCCTGTGGGGGGCTGGGGGCTCCATCACCCTGCTTACTCTCTTATGATATTAAAGGAAAGTAAAAATGGCCGCGTGAGAGTGTGTGAGAGGGAGAGAGAGAGAGGCGGAGGGGTGAAGTCCACACCCTACCACACTCTGCCACACTCCGCACGCTGCTCCACACCTCTTGCAGGTCAGTGTCACTCTGCCACACTCCGCACGCTGCTCCACACCTCCTGCAGGTCAGTGTCACTCTGCCACACTCCGCACGCTGCTCCACACCTCCTGCAGGTCAGTGTCACTCTGCCACACTCCGCACGCTGCTCCACACCCCCTGCAGGTCAGTGTCACTCTGCCACACTCCGCACGCTGCTCCACATCCCCCTGCAGGTCAGTGTCACTGCCACACTCCGCACGCTGCTCCACATCCCCCTGCAGGTCAGTGTCACTCTGCCACACTCCGCACGCTGCTCCACACCCCCCTGCAGGTCAGTGTCACTCTGCCACACTCCGCACGCTGCTCCACACCCCCCTGCAGGTCAGTGTCACTCTGCCACACTCCGCACGCTGCTCCACACCCCCCTGCAGGTCAGTGTCACTCTGCCACACTCCGCACGCTGCTCCACACCCCCCTGCAGGTCAGTGTCACTCTGCCACACTCCGCACGCTGCTCCACACCCCCATGCAGGTCAGTGTCACTCTGCCACACTCCGCACGCTGCTCCACACCCCCATGCAGGTCAGTGTCACTCTGCCACACTCTACACGCTGCTCCACATCAATTTTAATATGCTGTTCTTTCAAAACTGAATTTTTCTTTTTTGTCGGTGTCATAGTGAAGAATTGTCCTGATGTATGTGACAGAGCTCATTAGGCTAAGAAGCTTGTGCACCTGTCGATTAAGAACTGAGAGGCGGGACTCAAGAGCCGTGGCTCATCTCCCGCAAATACAATCTATACGAGTGTGACACTGCCACACTTCACACACTGCTCCACACCCTGCCACCCACCAGATCCCAGCCACACCCTGCCACCCACCAGATCCCAGCCACACCCTGCCACCCACCAGATCCCAGCCACACCCTGCCACCCACCAGATCCCAGCCACACCCTGCCACCCACCAGATCCCAGCCACACCCTGCCACCCACCAGATCCCAGCCACACCCTGCCACCCACCAGATCCCAGCCACACCCTGCTTGCTAAACTGCATCACTTCTGATATCTCAATGATATCTCATTGAAAGCTACGTCGTAACCCCGTGGTAATGGTATCCAAATAATGGGGGTTAGAATGGTGCCCAAATAATGGGGTGGTAGAATGGTGCCCAAATAATGGGGTGGTAGAATGGTACCCAAATAATGAGGGAGGGAGGGGGTTTAGTATGGTTCCCAATTAATAGTGGCATTGGACCCAAACAATGAGGCTATGGTACTCGATCTCTAAACCATTTAAAAGTTGTTAATTAGAATTAACTACCGTCACCAGTAGGAATTCGGTCTTCTGAGTACACCAAGAATATCAAAATTCTCACCAGTTAAAGCTGTCTCGTGACTGTGTGATTTGCCATTTTTCTGTTTGGGATAAAATTTTATATTTGGTTCAGCCATTGTGTTAAGCGATTGAAACCATTTGACGTCATACTGTTATCTAATGACATTCTGCCGAAGGGGGCTGGGTGTATGGGGACATATTGGGACATAGAGGGGGGTGGGGAATGGGTACCAATATGCGTGGGAGAGTGGTACCTTGGTACCAGTCTGTATAAATAAGTTATCCCCTGCGGGGCTGATACTGCAAGTTAACCTCTGGCAGGCATTTCCTCGCGGACCCGAGATGGTACTCTGTTATGGGACGGGTGTGGTGTAGCCTGGCCCTTCCAACCAGCGGGTGTGGTGTAGCCTGGCCCTACCAACCAGCGGGTGTGGTGTAGCCTGGCCCCTCCCAGCCAGCGGGTGTGGTGTAGCCTGTCTCTCTTACCCAGCGGGTGTGGTGTAGCCTATCTCTCTTACCCAGCGGGTGTGGTGTAGCCTATCTCTCTTACCCAGCGGGTGTGGTGTAGCCTGTCTCTCTTACCCAGCGGGTGTGGTGTAGCCTGTCTCTCTTACCCAGCGGGTGTGGTGTAGCCTGTCTCTCTTACCCAGCGGGTGTGGTGTAGCCTGTCTCTCTTACCCAGCGGGTGTGGTGTAGCCTGTCTCTCTTACCCAGCGGGTGTGGTGTAGCCTATCTCTCTTACCCAGCGGGTGTGGTGTAGCCTGTCTCTCTTACCCAGCGGGTGTGGTGTAGCCTGTCTCTCTTACCCAGCGGGTGTGGTGTAGCCTGTCTCTTTTACCCAGCGGGTGTGGTGTAGCCTGTCTCTTTTACCCAGCGGGTGTGGTGTAGCCTATCTCTCTTACCCAGCGGGTGTGGTGTAGCCTATCTCTCTTACCCAGCGGGTGTGGTGTAGCCTGTCTCTCTTACCCAGCGGGTGTGGTGTAGCCTGTCTCTCTTACCCAGCGGGTGTGGTGTAGAAGCGGGTGTGGTGTAGCCTGTCTCTTTTACCCAGCGGGTGTGGTGTAGCCTGTCTCTTTTACCCAGCGGGTGTGGTGTAGCCTGTCTCTTTTACCCAGCGGGTGTGGTGTAGCCTGTCTCTTTTACCCAGCGGGTGTGGTGTAGCCTGTCTCTTTTACCCAGCGGGTGTGGTGTAGCCTGTCTCTTTTACCCAGCGGGTGTGGTGTAGCCGGGTGTAGTAATGTCACAACACTTGATAACAGTGGAAATGTTTTATATGTAGTCCGATAACAGTACATCTGCTCCCTTGTTAATGTAGAACGGCTTCACCTGCTGTTCTGCCTCCTGGCTCGTGTCTGAGTGTGTCTGCTCGTGTCTGAGTGTGTCTGCTCGTGTCTGAGTGTGTCTGCTCGTGTCTGAGTGTGTCGGCTCGTGTCTGAGTGTGTCTGCTCGTGTCTGAGTGTGTCGGCTCGTGTCTAAGTGTGTCGGCTCGTGTCTGAGTGTGTCAGCTAGTGTCTGAGTGTGTCGGCTCGTGTCTGAGTGTGTCGGCTCGTGTCTGAGTGTGTCGACTAGTGTCTGAGTGTGTCGGCTCGTGTCTGAGTGTGTCGGCTCAATGTCTAAGTGTATCAATCACTGAGGTGCGCGTCTTCAATGTTGGCTTCAGCAGCTTCCATTGGCTTCAGCAGTTTATATCTGCGCTGAAGTAGTTGTCATTTGGGAGGTGGTTGAGAAATGACAGTTGTGTCAGTAGCAGCGTGTAGAGGCAGACATCGCCAGGCGCCGCCTCGAACAAGTGCCGGGCTTGAAGCGCGCGTCTCGCCAGAATAGATAAGAACTTGGAGGCGCTTGATGAGTGTGTTCATGACACACTAATGGGTCGTGAGGGGGCGAGAGTGCGTGAGTAATAGTCATGACTTGAGGGCATTCATAAGCCACATGCGTGCGTCGGTGAGTGCACGTCCATTGGTCACGAACGCGCGTGTGTGTGTGCGTGCCCTGGGGCTGGTTTGGTGTAATATTTCGGCGGGTGATGGCGGGTATGGCGGGAACCGTGACCCCGGGCACGTAGGGCGGCGGGTGTGGCGGGTGATGGCGGGAACCGTGACCCCGGACACGTAGGGCGGCGGGTGATGGCGGGAACCGTGACCCCGGGCACGTAGGGCGGCGGGTGTGGCGGGAACCGTGACCCCGGGCACGTAGGGCGGCGGGACCAGCCACACTAGGGAGGAACATCCCAGCACGGCTAGGTTAGTACCTATAGTAGGTACAGGCTCCAAGTGTGGCGTTGGGTCGAGGTTCAATGATCTTTTCCAACGTTAATTTAACTTTTAAAGGCCTTTGATAATGCGTTGTGTCCAATGGTACTTTCCTCTCTCTGTCCCGCGCTCAAAATGTCTCTTTATTTTCGCAGAGGGAGCCGGTCGGCCGAGCGGACAGCACGCTGGACTTGTGATCCTGTGGTCCTGGGTTAGATCCCAGGCGCCGGCGAGAAACAATAGGCAGAGTTTCTTTCACCCTATGCCCCTGTTGCCTAGCAGTAAAATAGGTACCTGGGTGTTAGTCAGCTGTCACGGGCTGCTTCCTGGGGGTGGAGGCCTGGTCGAAGACCGGGCCGCGGGGACACTAAAAGCCCCGAAATCATCTCAAGATAACCTCAAGATAACCCTATTATCCCCCCTCCTTCCTTGCTCTCTGCCACCCCTCACTCACAGCAGAATGGACAGCGTTTTGGGGTTGTAGTCCTAAAGGCCCGGGTTAGATTCCCGGCCGAGGCAGGAGCAAATCGGCAAATCGTTCAGTAGAACTTCGGTTTCAACCCTTTTACCCTGTCATAGCTCAGTCGATTAAGGCAGTGTCTGGGATGCTCCAAGACGCAGGTTCGAATCCTCGTCACTGCCCTTGTGGATTTGTTCATTTAAATTGGCAAAGTTTCTTTCATGCCCCTGTTCACCTGTGTGTCTTTTTTTATACCCGTGATATTTTCTGTTTAATTGCCTCGTTAAGCGGTTGAGCTTTAGTTTTCAGGACCTGATTCTCAACCTTCGGTTGACCAGTGCTCTGGTTCCCCATCCTCTTGAAGGGTCCGTAGAATTACGTAAAGGAATGTACACATTTCCTGCTGTAATATTGTAAATGACCGTAGATGGTGAAGGTGGCTAACTAGCGGGAGTAACAACGTTCTAATACGTCATAAACACGTTAAGCTAAGATGTAACAACTTTATTTCGGTTTGTTTCCAGGAATGGAACAGAGACATGAGGACGGGGTAAAGGAATGTTTCCAACCGTATGATCCGTCCGGAATCGATCGCCGACTTAGAAGATGGCAGACAGTCGCTGTACCGACCAGTTCAAGTGATTAGGAATAACATAATTTCACTGCAAAATGCGCGGATTTTCTTACGAAATCAGACCAAAATAGGTGGCGGGTGAGGCGATAGGAAGCTGACGAAGCGATCAGATCATTGACTTCCTTTGGCATCGTCCTCCACCTATTTCAGACTTAGCACCTGTGATGAATCTTCGTATACAATGACTGTCCTGATCTTCCAGAACATTTCTGTAAGTACCAAGCGAGTACCAAGCAAACGGCCTCGTACTTGTTGGACATTGAGGTCCTCACAACCTGGAGTTACCATGGTATCTAGTTTCCAAGTCCTTCCAACCTGAGCCAGTATTCATCAAGTAATCGACTTGAGAATGGTCCAGGACGGACCGAAACGTCGTCGTCTCTTCACCTTCTAGTGTGTGGTCTGGTCAACCTTCATCAAGTATTTACAAATGCACTTGCGAAACCTGTACATCTTTGTCAGTCATGGTGTTGCATTTATTAAGCAGTTTACAGGTTTGAAACTTCATAACTCAAGGATGGTATTGTCACAGGCAAGCTTGTACTATTTCCCAACTCAAACTGTTCAATGAATGCTAACTGAGCCCCATGGTTGAGGAGAGATGTATAGGTTTCGTAAGTGGCCGCCTAGATGTGCTTGTCAGTGTTGAGTAGCAGTTCAGAGGTCCGGCTTCGAAACATGTCTTAAGTTTAGCACAGTTTTCTGATCATATTTACAATTCAAGTTGTGGGATAAAGTGCCTTCAGCGACCTCCGTGTCGATCTCCAGCGACCTCCGTGTCGACCTCCGTGTCTAATCTGATGCACTTGTTGACAACTCTTGACAGGGAAGAAGTCCTTACTGACATCTGTCATTCATTTGTGTGTAGTTTACAGCATGTCATCTCATTCTACTGTCCCCAATTGTGAGGATTGCGTGCACGTGTGCGAGCGTGTGTGTGTGCGGGCGTGCACGTGAGGGTGACCCTTCACCCGCTGGGCCTCAGTATTTTTATATAATGAAATATTAATGATTTTTGTTTTTTTTTCCAGATACATTTGGAGGATTTACACGATGTTTCAACTGCCAGGCGTCAAGCAACAAGTGTTCCCATAAGAAACATGGATGGTGTGTTGATTTCTTTGTAAACAATTTATCCAAGACCCTCGCGCAGTTAATAATAATTCATAATGATAAAATGTGTATATATATATCGCGAGTGAACGCTTTAATTTGATGCTTGATGTGGCTTGAAAATTTAGTGGAATCGATTTGAAAACCGCGTGGAAAGTCGGCGAAGCGTGAAGAGGTTTAGCGGCCATGGGAGGGTGTGCTAGGCTGTGTCGTCTACTGCCTGGTCTCCTGCGGCGATACTGGTTCCTGGTGAGTGTTCCTCTTTGTTCTATGTTCTGTTGACCAGACTACACACTAGAAGGTGAAGGGACGATGACAACGTTTCGGTCAGTCCTGGACCATTCTCAAGCCCAATTGACTTGAGAATGGTCCAGGACGGACCGAAACGTCGTCGTCGTCCCTTCGCCTTCTAGTGTGTGGTCTGGTCAACATACTTTAGCCACGTTATTGTGACTCATCGCCTGTTCTGTGTTCTGTGTTATGAGAAGGGTAAAAGTGACAGGATGAACAACCCAGCGGGTTTTCTTCCTTATTGGGAGTGTTGTACATGCTGCTATGGCGGTGTGTCCACTCACAGGATGAGTGGCGCTGCCCAATAAACTCGCCCCTCGGGGCAAAATGTTTAAAAATGTTAAAGGAATGTTCTCCCTCTCTTGCTATATACTCTGGGCCTTCCGTACCACGCACAACCTCCAGCATATATGGATTATGGCCGGAAATGAGGTTAGGCGACAGATCGCGGGTATCTGCTAGGCGCTTTTCGACTGTCACGTGTCGCTGTCTTATGGAGGAAACCCATTCTGTCATTTTGACGGCTTTTAATGTATTTTGCTGTGCAGGAACTTTTAGTTATTTGCTTTCTAGCCGTTGTACTGTCAATGGTGGGAGCAGCTCCTCTTACTGACGACCGTTACTCTGGAAGGCAAATTACCAGTCGGGGAGGCGGGGTGGGGCCAGGATGACTGTAATTGTTTATACAGAGTCAAAGGCAGCGGCGGTGGGCCCGTGGGTCGGTGGGAGGGGTGGGCCGGGAAGGGATGGAAAAGATTGAGGTCATTAACTAGGTCCACCCCTCTCACGGATGGACAGAGGGGGGGGGGTTAACCCCTCTCTCATGGATGAAGTGGGTGAGAAAGGGGTCAACCCCTCTCACTAATGGAAGGGGGGGGGAGTGGTTAACTCACCGACTGAGAGGGAGGAGGCAAGTGGTTGAGCCCTGTCACGGATGGCCTGAGTCATTAATCACGAGGATAGTGCTACGAGGAATCAATTAGGACTGAGGCACGCGCCTTCAAGAAGTGCTGGGGGGCTCCAGGCCCTCTGGCGGCGGGTGTGGACATCGTCACCTTCACCCATGCCTAATACTCTCTGACCTCACACACTTACCGCCCACACACACACACACACACGCGCGAGTGTGGACCAGAGTAGAACTCTAGAGACCCTCTTCAGGTATGCTCCAGGTATGGAGGGCTACGTTGCTTTCCCGGCCTGGTGTCTTTTGATAATTGTGAGCGAGGAACGCGTAGCCTCTCACACGGGAGACATCTCCCGTCACGCAGGGTGCAGTCGCACCTCCACAGATCTCCAGTATCAGCTCTTGATACTGGTAATGGCTCAAAAGGGCCACCACTTACGGGCTATTCATACCCGTGCCACCTTTTGGGTGGCTTAATCTTCATCAATCATCAATCAGTGGCCTTCCAACGTTGCACACACACACACACACAGAGACGCAACACTTGCCACACATGACAACACCTGCCTCGCGGTGTGCAGGTGTGTGTGTGATCACATGCAAGTCTGGGCCACCACTCAAAGGTGGCTCTTGTAACCCACGAATAAAAATTGTACTAAATAAGAGGACACTCCTTATGGGGACCAAGACGGTCGAGGCGACGTCCCCTGGCTATCTTACCAGCTCACACGTTGCCTCTCCCCCTCTCCCTCCCCCATCCCCCATCACATGTAACATCGCACACATCAGTGGCAGCGTGCATGGTAACCCCTCACATATGTAAGCATGCCTACCTGCCTAGTCCCCCTCTCCCCTCCCCCCACCCCACACACCCACAAACAGTGGACAATGAAGAAATGATCATCAAAATGCGATAATCAATCAGGTATCAAGGAAATAATCAAGCAGGTATCATGAAGAATACTAACACAAGATGTGAAGATAAGTCATTACAATAGACGACCGCCAGCTGGAAAGGCGGGGTCCAAGAGTTGAAGCGCGATTCTACAGGGATAAAGCGGCGAGTACACAGACAGAGAGCGGCTGTGCACACACAAGTCTTGAGACCATAAGCGGAGTGGACATGTATGTAGCTGGTGAGAGTCCAGGCAGTATGGGACCATCTCGCACATATAAAATACAGTTTTATGTACCCTACGCTTGCGAGGGTACAGCCAGGCGAGGCTTGCCTGGCTGTACCTGTGTGTACCTCGAGCATCAGGTCGTCAACACAGTGTAGGTCTTTACCCTGCCTCATCTTACAGCTGGAAGGAGAAGGCGGCGGCTTCTGCCACCTCTACTCCCAGTTCCTAACATCTGCTAATCACTTATGCCTCTCACTCATTGATGTTTCCAACATCCACCCTTGTTTTGTCTCCCTCACTCCCCACTCTCCCTCACTCCCACTCTCCCTCACTCCCCACTCAGTCTCCCTCACACTCTCACACGCCCCCCCCTCCCCCCCTCACTACTTAGAGCAAGGAGAGGTTCCAGAGATAAGAGAGCGTATATCTAACCAGGCACCACTGGAGGAGTTTGAGATTACCAGTGGGGAGGTAAGGAAGCATTTGCTTGTGTTGGATGTGACAAAGGCTATAGGCCCGGATGGAATCTCACCATGGGTACTAAAAGGAGCAGCAGAAGTACTGTGCTTACCACACTAAATGGTGTGCGAGTCACTGGTAATGTGAACTGCCATAAATTTGGAAGACGGCTAATGAAGTCCCGACATAGAAGGGAGACACACAGGAGGCGTTAAACTACAGGGGCCAGATTCACGAAAGCACTTACGCAAAAACTTACGAACCTGTACATCTTTTCTTAATCTTTGGCGGCTTTGTTTCCAATTATTAAACAGTTAATGAGCTCCGAAGCACCAGGAGGCTGTTTATAAAAATAACAACACTTGAATGGGAAGTTTTCATGCTTGTAAACTGTTTAATAAATGTAACCAAAGCCGTCAAAGATTGAGGAAAGATGTACACGTTCGTAAGTGCTTGAGTAACTGCTTTCGTGAATCTGGGCCCAGGCCAGTGTCCCTAACTTGCATGCCACGCAAGGCGATGCAGAAGACTGCAAAATAAAGAGAGAAAGAACTTTGTAACACATCATCGGCATGGGTTCAGAGATGGCAAATCTTGCCTCACAGGATTAACTGAATTATATGATCAGACGATAAAAATCAGGCAAGAAAGAAAAGATTGGGGAGAGTATATAGTTTTTAATTGCTAGAAAGCCTTTGACACGTTCCCACACAAGAGACTAGTGCTCAAGCTGGAGATGCAGGCAGGAGTGAAAGGGAAGGTACTCCATTATATAAGGAAGTACCTAAGCAACAGAAGACAGCGAATCACCGTGAAGGGTGAGGTCTTGTGGTGAGGCGTCACCAGGGGAGTCCCGCAGGGTTCAGTCCTTGGACCTATCCTGTTTCTGATATATGTAAGTGATCTCCCAGAGGAAATAGACTCGTTCCTCTCAATGTTTGCTGACGATACAAAAAATATGAAGATGATTAAGACCGAGGAAGATGGCAAGAGCCTACAAGATGACCAACACAAACTGAATGAATGGTCCAACAAATGGCTACTAAAGTTCAACCCAAGTAAATGTAAGGTTATGAAACCAGGCGAACAGGAGGCCAGACACAGGATACCGAATGGGAGTTGAAGTCCTCCATTAATGAGAGAGCATTAATGTATGATGACTTGCTGTAAATATATAGCTCTTGTAATAGCACTTTCTCTGTAACTAGCTGACATTGTAACTATAAGGTGTGAAGGATAGATGAAATTGTTTATGTAATAATCTAAGATGAGGTCTGATAAAGACCTTTTGTGCCCTCTGTAATGCTTTTGCGCTACCGCTCAGGATAAGTATGGGGTGCACAATAAACTAGCCGGCTTCGGCGGCAACAATCAAATAAAAAAAGTTGAAGTCCTGACAAAACGGGAGGAACCTTCCTCGTCTAGAGAAAGATCTAGGAGTTGATATCACGCCGAATCTTTCTCGTGAAGCCCACATAAAAAAAAATTATCCTCAGGAACTACGGGAGTTAAACCTCACGTCGCTGGATGACAAAAGTTAGGGGGGACATGATCACCACATAAGATTCGCAGGGAATTGATAGGATAGATAAAGACTTTATTTAACACACGAGGCACAAGTGAAAATTGAGTACCCAAATGTGCCATAGAGATATAAAAAACTTTTTTCAGTGTCAGAGTAGTTAACAGATGGAATGCATTAGGCAGTGATGTGGTGGAGGCTGACTCCATACACAGTTTCAAGTGTAGATATGATAGAGCCCAGTAGGCTCAGGAACCTGTACACCAGTTGATTGACAGTTGAGAGGCGGGACCAAAGAGCCAGAGCTCAACCCCCGCAAGCATAACTAGGTGAGTACAAGAGTATGGCGAGGGAGGGAGGGGGGGGGGATAGCCCCCACAAGAGGAGGGGGAGGAGCCAGCAAGGACCACCTACTGCGGTCCCCGCATGATAACAGCTATATAAATCCCAGCAGATAAATCCTTAATCCCAGGCAGATTACCGCCTCCCTCCCAGCCCTTGCCAGCGTGTACGTGCCTCCTCAGAGGCCCTGTCTTCCCTCCAACTCTCTCCCTCCTTTCTCCCTCTCTCTCTTTCTCTCCCTTTTTCCCCCCTCCCTCTCTGGCTCTCCCTCCTTCCCTCTCTGGCTCCCTCCTTCCTCCTCTTCCTCTCTCTCGCTTCTTTCTCTCTACCGCACTATCATCAATCTCTAACGGTGGTTCCCAGTTTTCCCGGGGTAAAGACTTCCCCCGAGACCCGCCACCACGGCCCAAGAGGCTAGTAGCCTCACCCCACACTACCACCACGGCTGGAGACGGTGGTGTGCTGGCCTGCTGTCACCACACCCCCTCCTTCGCCTCCCACAATCCTTGCTACGAGCTCTGCTCCTATAGAGCTGCTAACCCTAGACACCAATCACGAGAGCCACAAGCTCCTCCCTCTAGGCCTGCCGAAAACGTGACCAGGA